GGAGCGCAGACATCGCTCTGCTGTGAAGATGTCCTGGAAGAGATTGGGGTTCCAGGAGTCCGAGAGAATCTGCAGCTACAGAACATCGAAGGAAGCGGTACCAGACAGTCGTCTCTTCGAGTTCAGCTGACAGTCAGTCCTCTGAGCACAGCGACCAGCAGAAATCGAATCGTCGTGCCCGAGGTGTGGTCTGTGCCAAGGTTGAACGTGGCCCCACCCAGCATGAGTAGCAAGCAGCTTCGCAGCTGGAAGCACTTGCAGGACCTGGACCTACAGCAGTACAACGGCGCACACGTCGAGCTTCTACTTGGTGCCAACATTCTGGAAGCTGTGCTGCAGCGAGAGGTCCGGGTGGGAGGCCCCGGAATGCCCGTCGCTATCCGGACAGACTTTGGCTGGACCCTGACGGGATCGATATCCACCCTGATTCCAAGCACAATGCGGCAAGTCATGTTCGTGCGTCAACGTGCTCCCGAAGACGCTCTGGAGGGTCTGCAAGAGTTGGTCCAAGACTGGTGGACGACCGAGGCCTTCGGCACCATGATCAACAGCTCTGATGCACGATCTCAAGAAGATCTCAGAGCTATGCGAATCTTGGATCAGCAGACCAGGAAGGTGGGGGACAGATATGAAGCTGGACTTCTGTGGGGTCAAGACGAACCGATGTTGCCGGACAACTGGAACCAAGCGTACCGACGTCTTCAGTCCATCGAGAGGAAACTCGACAAGCAGCCAGAACTGGCTACAAGGTACCAAGCCATCATCGACGGATATGTGAAGGATGGTCACGCAAGGAAGCTTTCAGCAGAAGAAGCGCACGAACCGAAGGAGAAGCGTTGGTATCTGCCACACCACGCAGTAGTGAACCCGAACAAGCTAGGGAAGCTGAGAATCGTCTTCGACGCTGCGGCAACATACCAAGGCGTATCACTGAACTCGAAGCTTATCACAGGTCCAGATCTACTACAAAGCCTTCCTGGGGTGATCATGCGCTTCAGGGAAGGTCTGGTCGCTGTGACAGCGGACATCAAACAGATGTATCATCAGGTGAGGATCCGGACAGAAGACCAGCCTGCATCGAGCTTTCTATGGCGAGATATGGAGCGACACCGCAAGCCTGACGTCTATCAGATGGAGGTGGTCATCTTTGGCGCAAAGTCATCACCGGCAACGGCCAACTACGTGCTGAGAAAAGCACTTCTGGACCATGGAGCGGAGACAGACAAGGTTCTCAGCAGAAGTCCCGAGCAACTGGCAAAGTCGTTATACATGGACGATTGCCTGTTCTCTTGCATGACGGAAGACGCCGCCAAACAGCTGTACGCTGACGTGAAGGAGGCACTGGAGAGAGGAGGTTTTCACCTCACGAAATGGAGAAGCAGTTCCCCCGCAGTGCTGGAAGGGGTTCCAGAGAGGGAGAGAGCCAGCGCCTCTGCGAGCCTATGTCTCAGGAGCTCGCACACCGCTGAAAAGACGCTGGGCATCGCATGGGAGGAAGACGAGGACACATTGGGGTTTCGTCTCCAAGCCAAAGAAGTGAGTGCAACCAAGCGTGGTGTGCTCAGCAAAGTGTCAACAATCTTTGACCCTCTGGGGATTGCTGCTCCTGTTACCGTGAGAGCAAAGATGATGATGCAGCGACTCTGGTGGAAACATCTGGAGTGGGACGAGCCACTACCCGAACCTGAGCTGAGCCAATGGTTGGAGTGGCTGAGTGAAGCAGAGAAGCTGAATGAAGTCGTGATGCAACGCTGCGTGAACCCCAGCGGCCCAGGGACGCTGCGACGCCAACTTTATGTGTTCTGCGATGCGTCAGAGAGTGCGTTCGGCGCTGTGGCATACTTCAGGACAACTTCGAGCGATGGATTACACCACTGTCGCTTCCTGATCGGCAAATGCCGAGTCGCTCCACTGAAGCGACCATCAATTGTCCGTCTGGAGCTGCAAGCAGCCGTTCTTGGAGCGCGTCTGGTGGCTACCGTCCTCGGGGAGATCACTCAGCCACCGGATGACATCTTCTGCTGGACGGACAGCAAGGCAATCCAGCAGTACCTTGGCTATGAAACCCGACGGTTCAAGACCTTCGTGGCCAATAGACTTGCAGAGATTTACGAGCTGACCTGCAACGCGTGCTGGCGTCGGAGTCAAATGACGCCCAGGTCAGCTCGCCAACGAGAGGCCGAACCATCGACCCTTCCGTCTGCTCCCAGTGGCCTCGCCATCGAGGGGCTGGGAGAGACAAAACACATCGGCATCTCCGCAACCGTGAGATAAACCAGCGGGGTTTACACGATCCTGACAAATCGCTATCAAGCACTGTAGGACCAAGGGTCCTCTGGAGTCTGGAGGCTCTCCAGCGTCTCTCCATCTCCAGCGTGGGAGGCATTAGCCTCCGCGAGCGCTGCAGCGGCCTCGGCGCAGGCGGCGGTGGCCTCCTCGGCCGCCTCAGCACGGGTGGCGGCAACCTCGTCGGCTACACCAGCTCGGGCGGTAGCTTCCTTGGATGTGGCGGTTTCTGCTTGGGCGGCAGCGATTCATCTAGCAGCGACGACGTCGCCAGTCGCCTTGGTACGTCGGTGGGGATATGCCACTGATCCCCATCATTAATCGTTGCTTAACGAAGTTGAAGTGTGTTTTCTTTCTCCTGTGTCATGTTGTATTTTGCCGGTGTTTGAAGAAATAGCATCGCATTTGTTGGAATATAAAATATGTGATATGTGTTAGCAACGCGAGGTGTGCGGCAGCACGCCGGTTACCTTTCGTGAGTGTTGCCCTGCAGTGCAACACGGTGCGGGGGGATGTTAGCACCGGCGGCTGCAGGCCGGGCCGCCCGGACCACCGAGCGGGCCATGCGGCGGCCGGCCGACCACGTGGCGCCTGGGGCTATGCCGGCACTGAGCTGACCCCATAGCAGGCAGCCCGGTGATTGGCTGCTTGGGCTCCTGCCCTCAGGGCGCCGGCGAGGTGACCTCGGGTCGGCGCACGGGGCTCGAGGGAGTTCGTTCTGGATGCTCGGCGGAGAAGTGCTCGCTGTGTGGGTGGAAGTGGTGCTCTGGCTGTGGTGTGGTGGTGGTGCACAATACAGCAAGTGAAAATATCTTAACTGGTGTGGAGAGGAGCTGGACCAGTGGAAAAGGGGACGGGACAGTGAACAGCAGCGAGTCTTCATAGCGTGCGAGTAGCCGATCATTTCCTTTCATCCGGGACTCATAACACGGCCTCTTACGGGGTGTGTGAGGGAGGCGGCCACAGTGTCTCGCCATCGAGTCACTGAGCTTAAACTCGTTCCCCGGGTCTTGCCATCGAGGCTCGGGTGCGGGGTCTCCGCTCAGACAGGGGTGCGACAAGTCGGCTCCGGCTAACCTTGCCATCGAGGCGCCGGAGTATCGGTTGATCTGTCCGATTACAGTGGTCTCGCCATCGAGAGGCTGAAATCGGGCAGCGGCTGGCGTCTTCCTCACCATCCTGATCTACCCATCGCTCTCCTACAGTCCTTGTCTATCATCCGGCTAAATAAGTGTCGTTGGCGTGTGAAATACCAGAGGACACGTGGCGACAGCCCTATATACTAATAAAGTGTGATTCATTACTAATTCACATCTCCACATCTCCTCAGAAACAACCCACTGAACTCTATAAATATCTGAAACCCCTACAAAAATAACTGAAACAAAAGCGCCGTTTTCGTCTCGCTAATTACGTTTACATTAATAGCTAATTTGCTGCATTGTTTAATTTGCAGCAGAACGTTTGTTGATCCTTTTCTCCTGAGAGCCTAGGCATAACATATGTATTTAATATATTTCATTTTCCTTAAAATATTTTACCGAATATTATTAAGTGGTTTTATTTCAAATGAAATAATAATTAAAACGAAATTGGTGTTGTACAACCGATTTATTTTATGATGATCTATCCATACTACATGATAATCAATGACGTCAACTTACCAAAAAATCAAAAGACGTAGAATAAGGATTTATAAAAGCTTAGCATACTTCTTGGCAAAACGTTTTCTTTGTTTTTTCGCAGTCGCACCCGTCGCCTCGCACCAACGGCGTTTAATTTTCCTTGTTCTTCTTCCTTTGTCCTTAACTTATCCTGTGGTTCCAGAGTCCCTGTCCTTTCCATTTCCTTTTAAATATATTTTTAATGCTCATCCCTATCCCCCAGTCCTAACAGTTTCAAATTGTATTGCAATAAAATGTTTTGAATTCTTCACATATAACCTATCTACCTTCGTTGGTACTGTTGGTAGCCAGTGACACATCTAGGCAGGTAAGAAGGTACCTACCTGATTTCCTGCTGTCTTCATAAAGCATACCTAATGAAGTTGTCAAATTTATAGCACATTTTCAACACTTTCATATCAATATGGTGTCAGTGTGGCATGTAACCTAGCTAGGTTCATTATGTTCAGGGTTCAATTCAGAAGAGCTCCGCATAACTCACATAAGAGACAGACGGGGGCTTTACATGGGGTAGATGGCCTGATGACTTAGCTGGAATATGGCCAAAATTAAATTGACAACTTTTAGGTGAAAGGTGGTGATTTGGGTTAAGGGGCGTTTGTTGAAGTCAACTACTGGGTTATTTTGCACCCATTAAATGAAACTTCTGCTCCAATTCTACCCATTGAACCTCAATATCATGATCCACCTGTCCATCACTAGGTATCCTTCCTTATTACATAGAAACTTTGAATGGCATGGCAATTTATAATTTTAAATGACAATATTTTTGTTTCTTCTGTAGGTAGGTAGGTAGGTAGGTACACCAGACTGCTATGGACACTTTTCCAAGTTGGTGGGGCAAAAAACCTAATGTATATCTTGGTTTGAGTCGTTTGATTGAGTTGATTGATTCCTTTCATTGTCGCGTTTGAGTCGATTGAATCAATTCCCGAAAACTGCTCTGACTTGATTGATTTGATTGGTTTCCCAAATTTGTCGTGATTGAATTGATTGCTATTGATTGAGTCGTATACAACCCTGTTTATAACGCTGAAGGTTTGCTAAATATTCATTTGTATGCTGGATATATTGATAATGTAAGGTATTTTAGGCCAATCACAAATGAAATTTTGACATGATAATTGCTTGTTTTTGTATATTTACCAATACATTTTTTTTGTTACATATCTATCTATCGTAGTTTTTGGAAAGGGTATGAATTTCGATGTTACATTCCAAAACTATTCAGTGATAGCGGGCAGAGGCAAGTTATGGAAACTACTTGGCTGCAATGTGTTATCAAACATTGCTGATACCCATATAATTATCCTTACATCATGCTTCCTAATCCTTGGTACGTGGTAACTGGGCGGGCTTGCCCGCCCATTTACTACCTACCCATAACATTTGTTTTTCGTGAATGTGGAACGGCACTTCCCCAATCAAGGAACTCTGATACGGACTCATCCGAGTCTTCCTCTGTCAGGTATTCTCTGGAACACTATATCGCGGTAGTTACGACTTACGAGGAACACGGCTTACACCGCGACAGACTGAGTCAGCTGAGCTGAGCTGGACTCACTGAGTCAGAGTGAACTGAGTCAGCTGAGTCGAGTTTAACGAGACTGAGCTGACCTGAGCGAGGTGAGCGGTTCCTGAGCCAGCTAAGCTGGACTGATAGCTGTTGGCTTATTTGCACGATCCTGCCGCTGTCGGGCATACATCACAAGAGGTGATATGACTGTTCCGCTCTGGTTATATGACTGCAGAGCTGTGGTTCCATGATCGCACTGAACGGATTGATCTAGGGAGCTGTTGACCCGGGGCCCGGAGCCCATGGAGCTCCGTTCAGCCATGGTGCGGGTGTAGCAGAGCCGCGGTCCGCCGATTGTGGCTGCTGGGACCGGGTCAGACGATAGAGCACATGTTGTCATGACACCGTCCCGGCAGCATAGAGGTGGCAGACAGACCCGAGGTGGCAAAGATGTACTTGGTCTGTCGTTGTGTCGCTGAAACAGAGAAGAAAAACAGTCATAGACGCATGCTCAACAGGACTAATGTTCCCAACTAACTCCATGACTAATCATAGGCAAATGTTGCGTGTTTTACAACTCACATGTTGACTTTTTAGTGTCAATATCTCACCTCCTTGCTCAGTGTCCATAGGCAGGACATCAGGACGCTTCGCCCGCGACTTTCTGGGTAGGAAGTGTCGGTCCGAGCGGCGGCGCTCCGACTTTCGACCTCCACTGCCATCTATCGGCTGCAGCTGGTACCAGTGAGCCTGCTCGTCCACACTGTGCGGATCTGCAATCAATGCCAACGTGAAAGATGGGCTGACAAGGATAGTGTGAGGCTCGCCTCCAGCATTAAAAGGCGTCAGCTTAGGCATAGGAAGGACAAGTGCATCGCATCTGCAAGCATCCGTCTCCGGCAGCACCATGTCTTAAGTACCTACCTGCCAGATCGATGGACACCTGTCCCAGGTGCTCGTTGCCCTTGTAGGCGTCGTGGTTCCACACGCAGACCTGCAGGCTGGAGAGATGCAGCGTGTCCAGCTGCACCTTGGGGTACACCATCGTCTGGTTCCACTCCGGCACCGACTCGTACGAAAAGTGGCGCGTCGTGCGCACATTCTCAGATGTTGTGCTGGTGGGACAGGGCCTTAGGTGAGAAAGGTGATCTGGTGAAGCTAAAAGACGTCAGTTCACACTACGACACAAGACACGCTTGTGATGGAATTGCGTAAATTAAACGAGAAGCAACATATGTAACTAGGATATCTTCGGAATCAGCTTAATGTGATTTCGACAGCGCTTGTTGCTGTCGAGTTAGATGCGTATGATCTATGAAATTCTATTTCACGTAAAGCCACGGAGTTCATAGCGTTGACTGTGCAAGTGTGCAGGTTGCACTGTGTAGAGATATTCTGGCATGATGTTCAGCTCTACAAGCGTAGTCGCTGCGCCGCGGCTCCCATAGCCCACTCATGCAGGCGCGCGGCGCGGCTGCGCTCCGGGCCTGCACTGGTAGACTGTACCGCACTACCGCTCGGCACTGCGGGCCTGCGCTGGTAGACTGTACCGCACTACCGATCAGCGCTGCGGCACAGCATACCACGCCAGGCGCTCACTCGCTAAGCAGCCCAGGCGGCCCGGAGCACAAATCCAGCGATAAATAACTTGAAGAGCCAACTGCCAAGCAAAGCAGAACGTATACTTTAGATGGATATTAAAAGATAACTGACCTGTTATCTGGCAGAAGGATAACTTCAACGAACGGATCTGGTCGTGTGTCACCGTTCGGCCTTCGGGTCTTCAGGTTCTTGGCCCGCAACACGCTTACGTAGAGAATATGAGCCGCCACGTCGTGACACATCTGGAGCTGGATCTGACCAAGGGATATGTTTGGTGGCAGGTGCTGAAAAAGAAGCGATGCCTTTTTACGATGCTGGCCGAATAAGTAGGCACAGCTGGCAGATAAGTGAATCGTTTCCATCGTTTCCGAATAAACTAGCTTTCATTCGTTCTCGGAACGCAATGTCCCGCATGCCGTGTGATATTTTTCACCCCAACGACGCCTATAACTCCCCTCATCCAGTCCACAAACGGTCTGTATCACCCGCCTACCAGTAGATCTCACTCATAGGGTAAGACGCGGCTCCTCTCACCCGTATGATGCTGGGCCGTTTGGCAGCGGCTGTGCCGGACCCAGGCCGGCCGGAGTCGGGGGCTGGGTGTCGCTGGATGGATTCGCCCACCGCCGGCCGACCGCAGTTGCTCACACTGTCCATCGGATCGATGCTTGAGTTGTTCTCGCGCCGATCTGTCGAACATGGCTCTGCTGATCACAGCAATAGCAATTCAAGGAAACACCGATGGGAATGAACTGGTTGCGTTTTTGGCATTGAATCCATGGTTATAAGTTTCTTATATCGCGCTTTTTTTCGCCACTCAAGAACGTGTCGTCCTATTGACGGTCAGATCCCCCGATTCAGCTATTCGGGCAATAATGACATTGCCATACTACTAAGTTAGCTCTAAATTTAGACAACACAGGTAAAAGTGAATTCATAAATGATATAAAAAAACTGCAATGTTGACCACCCGCTTCGGGAATCATTCATATACAAGCAGGTAATATCTCTTTATCGGCGAGCAGCGAGTCTCGCGGGCCACCCACTCACCCTCCTCGTCTGCCACGTTGCCGTTGCCGGTCCGGTGGTGGGTCAGCGGACCGTTGTGCTCGCCGGAGTGGGTGGTGTTGCCGCGACTGGCCGGGGGGCGGCGGCGCCGGCTGCTGCCGTCCGCCGACCGCCGGCTGCGCTGCTGGCGGCCGGGGTCGGCCCACGAGCCGGTCGGCGGACTGCTGTTGACCGGCGCCCGGTCGCCGCTGCTCCCGGCCCCGCCGCCAGACCGCGCCGGCGGCGAGCGCTCCGTCTGACGCCGCGGGTTACAGTCGGCTAGGATCTCGATCTCTTCAGTCGATTCGCTGAGAATTTTTTGAACTTCTTCATATGTTTTACCACGCAGGCAAGTGCCGTTCCATTCAACAATTTCATCACCTGCATACAAATTCACGTGTTGTAACCAAGAATTTCTGGAAAAGTCATGTGAGAAAACATGGTTAATTGTTTTCAAACGTCTCGATGTCTTCGTGGTGATGCGGTGCTAAGAATTAGCTGATGCGCTGCTCTTAAGCTGGTGCATTGAAAGAACATGCTTATGTTTTCGATGAATTTCGCTTTCGGTGATACGGGTTACGGGATACGGGCTCAAGTTAGTAACATTCTACCCTAGCTCATCCTGTAAGACAGGTCGCCCTTTCAGAGAGAACTGTTGGGTATAATACTAAATGAATTTCTTTCAATGCTGCAAGAATGCGAAGCGCATGTGTACTTAAGTGCAAATTGTTGGGGACATTGAGTTATTATAATATTCATTGAAATAAACAGTTTTGTATAAGCTTGGGGTGCAAAATAGATCGTTTAGACAGTTTCAAAAGCTGTGCTATTTTCACTCCTTCAGTGGCCTTTGCAGTGGTAATTTGCAGTGGCAATCAGCTGAATGTCAGTCAGAACTATCAATGCTCCATCTTCTATAATTTCGGCAGTTTTTAGCCTGTCTTGCGGTCACCTACCAAGACTACTTTGAACACTACTTTGAGCACAGAAATTATAAAACTAAAATATTAACACACTGTAAGACGATGCTACGAAAACACAGCACATGCTATCCTTTGAGCGTGGTATAAACGTTTAAATAATGACGAACAATTGCATTTAAACCAAGCCACTATAGTATAGCGTACTTAATTTACATCATATACAGGACATTACAGCAGTGTCCTAAAGGCAGCGTCGACTTCAGGGAGGCCCAGTGTGCCACCTAAACGGCAATAACTTCAACATCCAGGGCCTGCCGTTAGACGTTAGGAGGTGCCGAAATACTACCTCTTTTTTCATCACTACCATCCAAAGAATGTGAGCGACTGTGTGGAGCTTTGGATCTTTTTGGATCTAGCATAAGATTTTTGCACTTTTAGATTTCAACGTTAACCCGCACCCCGTAGGGCTACCGGCGGACCCTACCACCCGTAGGGGGGGGGGGGGGGCGTTTCGGCCCCCCCCCCTAAGATCTCGGAAAGTTACCAGCCGATTTTCAAAATTTAAACGGCGTTCGATAGCCCCAACCGGGAACTACCTTTTGACCAAATTTCATTGACCTAGGTCAAACCGATGACGTCACAGGTCAGGTCAAATGTCAGATTTTCACCGTTCACAGGCAATTCAAGAAATGTGCTGTGAAAGCGAGTAAATTGGTAATTTATTGAAAACCATCGATGGTACATTGTTCGTCAAACACATACTTTGCTATCTGAGGTCACTGATACCAGGTCAGGTCACAGCGAGGTCAGGTCACCGGGGGTCACAATATGAATGTGTCGTGTGATACATGTTTTATGGTCCATTTTACATGACAAATGCGATTATGTGGGTTAGGCAGCCTTTGGGGCCAGCCTAGGTCACGTTTTTGTGAAGGTCAGGTCAAGGTCAGGTCAAATTAGGTCAAATTTCAAGGTTGATATTTTTGCATAAAATGGGTATTGATTCGATGCAGCTCGTCACGGGGAGTCTAATGGTGGTCTTCTTTTTGCTAGACGAGTTCTAGAATTGCCAAAAATTGAGTTTGAAAATTTGACGTCATCATTTTTGAACAGCTTTTTCGCTATAACTTGGCCAAAAAACGAGGTATCGATCTGAAATTTGGTATGTAGATAGAAGACGGTAGGCACTATCACATATATTCCGGTTTTTTCGAAACTCAAAAACTTTTTGGATTTTTTGGCGAATATATCCAAAAAAATGCTTTTTTGATTTTTGGGGGTCAAAACTCAAAAATTTCAGAAATTCGAGATAGCAGTTTTGTAGCCCTGTCAATTCTACACCTTTTATGTCTTGATCATTTTTCTGTATCTTCAAAGCTGTAGTCCTGACAGGTCTTCTCGCGAAGGTCTTTTTACGGTCGAAAATGACAGAACATGACGTCACTCTGACGTCATTTGTGGCCAACCTATCATAGCCTCTGGAAAAAGTTTTGGTCACAATGTGTAAAATTGATGCCCGGAGGGGTCCTGAAAGTTTGGTGGCGATATCTCCAGCCGTTCAGGAGATATCGACCGAAAAGGACAGGGGGGCCGTTTCGGCCCCCCACCCTACGGGGCGCGGGTTAATGAAACTATGATTGATACGGAGATTGATTCGGGAGTCTCTTTTACAGTGATAGACTGTCCTTCCTATCGTTGAGGAAATCCAAAGATCACCAAGTTAACGAGGGAGATTGACGGTAAGATCTAAGAGTTCTGTAAAAACGCTCTTCCAAAACGTTTACCAGAAGTTGTCAACGCATTGTTTTAAAGCATTTTTCAAGGATATTATTTAATGAAAATACAGAAGGCTTTAAACAGACTTTATTCATAACGTGTCTCAGCTCTTAAATGCTCACCTTCTTTTAGCTGTCCAAGATTGTCCATCACTCCCCCTTTAAATATTTTCCCAACAAATGCTCCAGTTTCGCCACTTGGAGTTAATTTTCCACCAACAAGCTTCATGCCAATACCGCCCTCACCTGCCGGTTAGAAAATGTCAGATACCGTCCCATTAAGTGTTCTAACATTTATACATCTGTTCTGTCTATGACACGTGTTGTGGCTTAGCTTTAGTGTGCTTTGGTGCTGAACTTAAAATCTTCTCGCGGAAGCGGACAGCCGTGCCAGCGGGTACTCAATTGTGGAACTTTGTGCAAGTGCATGGCCGTTTTGCATGTGTTTCATGCTTTGATGAACGACTGGCGGCTGTTGTTGTTGAACGCGCTATTTGAAACGAGTGTTGCACTGTGTTTTTCCATTTTCTTATTGCTCCGTTGGCTCCTTGTATTTGACGCTACATTCCAAAGGATGAAAGGGCTTAGCTATACGAGTGATAATAAAACAATTATATAAAACAAACGGTGAAAATTGGTCGCAAGGCCTAAACATTGCTTGGTATGATTAAAGAAAATGGGGACGAAAGATCTTAAAGGGTAGCTGTTGACCCAATATGTACGAGTATAATTCCTGAAGCGCTAAACATAAAAAGCAGCACTAAAAAATAGTATCATCCCTTAATACGAACTATATGCTTACACTAGAAATATGTATATTTCAAAGTAATGCCTTAGACATACATACTATATGGCATTACTACATTTTTTATTCAACACGTATTCATGCCCGACCTAAGGTGATTTTGATTAACAACTATGTATTTCGTTCATCGTCGACCAAACGTAATTATATAAGAAATGTTAATCTTGTTCATTAAAGGGACCCTCCCACCTTAACATTAGATTTGAGTTGAGATAGCCAAAATGGGGTCCCTGGCTCACAATTACCGGTTTCGGCACTCACAACATCGAGAAATGCCTTAAATCGGAAATATTGAATTTCAAAATTGCAGCATTTTGATTCAGAGGGGCTAATGCTGAGGAATACCCCTCTGAATGTGTGACGTCAGCGCAGATATCTAACGATTTTTAAATGTTTGACTAAAACGTTTTGTAGCACGCGGTGGTATATGCTGCTTTGCGCGCAACAAATGCCGCACTTTCAAATGAAGTCGCTAGGAACAGCGGAGATCCCAAAAAGTAAACAAAAGTAAAAGTCTAATATCTTGAAAACCGGTGAATATTTTTCGGTGAAATTTGGTAGATATTCGTTTACGCTCTTTCTGAACCGAGCGACATCACTTTCATGCCAATTCATAAACTTTTTTGAAGGTGGGAGGGTCCCTTTAATGATAGAAACGGAATAGTTAAACTGAAAGTAATTGGTTGTGTTACTACCCAAAATATTTATTTGAGCGATTGATGAAAATGAATCCTCATAGCTGTAACTCTGCACAGTGCTCATTACTAATCCTACTGACTATCAATTCGCCAAAAACAAGACTAAATATTGCAGCCCATTTCACCTCTTCCAATTATTGCATAGATTTATCAGCATTTTATTTACTAAATCGCTTTCTGATCAATTGAACTCATAAAAATAATGACTTAAAAATGCTGCAACAGTATTTACTTCAAGAAGGCTGTTGAATTTAGAACGTAAGCATTTTAGAAGTCAATTTACATATAAATATCAGCTGATTCAATATATATATATATATATATATATATATATATATATATATATATATATATATATATATATATATATATATATATATATATATATATATATATATCATACATGCAATATCATCATAGTTCGGTTTGTTAGTATCTACCTAAATATTGTGGGTGCTGTGTCAGCCAGGCTAGTATTTTTCAGCATGCACTTTATTACCTGAACTGCGGGGAACACTTAAAATCAAATAAAAAATCACCCAGCACGTTACCAAAGCGAAAATAGTGACAACTTCTAAGCATATGGAAAAGTGTGTTTCACTCATAGCTTCACAGAGCCCCAGTATCGTACCTGACCGATGTTTTTCTCTTGTGACAAATAAACGTTTCATAGCAGACTGGTCGCTCTGGATTTCCTTGTGGTACTGATGATCGGATGTCTGAGGAGACAACGGTTACTGAACAGATATCAAAGCCCACGGACACAGAGCAGCGACAGACACGGTGAGAAACATACAATCTGGAGGCCATCTGAGGGCCAAAACACTTGGTCAAACACAGATGTTACAGGCTCTACACCACAAAATGGTAGGAAACTGAAAATACATTCATCGGTACTTATTCGCGGAAACATTTCGCTGACCAGCGTCCACCAAACACCGATCCAGCATTATTTGAATTGATCTTGAAAAGGGTATTGGTACGCTGTGAGGGATCAGCCGCTGCACCGTATGTTCCCCATTAGATAAGGCTAAAGGCATGTTTTTAATATACTTTGTGATTGCCTAGCTGATGGCCGTCCATACATAATGCAAATCAAGTTTACGTTGCCAGGAAAAGGTGAATTTAGTACCGTTATGAACGCAATAAATGAGGCATTTAAATTCGGGAATTAACAATATGCACACCTAAACATATTACTACATTTCACACTATTAGCAATTCAGCAATATCTAAACAGACAGCAACATATACGAGATCATTGACTCACTCTAATTTCTTTACTATCACAAAAGTGTCAGCTATCTTTACGTATAATGGACTAGGTACGGTTTTTACCCGAGTTACAGTACCTACCTACTACCTACTATGTTACAAGCTATGGAAAACGCTAAAACATGCAACACTCTCCACATGCTAAGGCTGAATGCTATAATAACACATAAATTTGGCGGCTATTTTTCGCATCCAAGCCACATTTACAACTACTTGCTCAAAAGTATTTGGAAATACATTTTCGTTGACACAGCCGTTGTTTCAAGTGCAGCCAGATGGTCCAGCTGGCTCTTCGCGGTTAGATCTTGGTACAAAAAAAAACAGCGGACCCAATATCCACTACGAGATGCCGTATTTCGGCGGTGCTAACACAGTGGCCCGGTCAATAATCCGGCATTTCATAGGTAGGGACGACGAACTAACTTTGGAATTGCCGTTTCAACAACCATTACAATTTCTGAAGATGACTTCTTCTTGGCATACACGCCCCAATTCTCACGCAATCGAAATGAGCTTTACTTCGAGTGGCATATTCATCTGGTGTGCAGAATCTGTTACAAAACGATCAAATCTCAGTCATAGTGCTGTATCATAAGAAGGTCTCTGTCACGATCTATGCTAATGTCGGGCCCTGACTGCATCATGTTGCCCCTCTGGCGCCATGCATACCGATGTTTGGGCTGATGTAATTTCACTAATAATGGTGGTGTTGATCGCTTAGACGTCCTTAGAATATTTCGTCGTACTTTTGCGAGAAGTCATGCAGAAGTGTTGATGAAGTTCATAACTATTGCGATATCCTCTTCAGCTGACAATTATCACTATCGCGCACTCAGTTGGGGAGTAGAAGCATGTTATTTACTATGAAACATTGGCAGAAATTTGACATGAATTCCATTTGAACAGAGTACATATATGTGGACGCAGACATAAACACCAAACGGGACTGCAGTCAAGTGCGACAATCTGGGACTGCGGGACAGGACCATCTTACATCCCACGGATTTCGTGGACACATTGTAACACATACACCCAACTGGAACTGGAACCGTTTACATACCGAGCAGCTCAGGGGCTGGCCACAAACAAGTCAGGACTGGGAGCCGAACATGTAACAAGGCATGAAGGGGGACTTCCTACAAATACCAGCCGGGACCACACCAAACGTATTTGCATATACCTTTACCTTACACAATCACTTTGGACTGGGACCGCATACACAGACGAGTAAGCAACGACTCCATGTGCCGTGCAAACCTATATTTTTAAGTGCTGCGAGGTGACGATGAAGTCATTGACACTTTATACCAGACGTTCCACCCAAAGCAACACGCCATATCCCTGGAACAGAGATCCCATCCCAGCCCGTCCCATCCTCGCAGTGCCCCAAACCAGGCCCTGGTGATTTTAATCAAGCATCATCACTCTATTGTTAAGTTGAGATTATCGGTACCGGAGTAGCGAGCAGATGAATGAAGATTAGAGCAATCAGTTGTTTAGTCTCTATCCATCGAGCGGAGAACAGAGCCCTCTGGCGTTTCCGGGGGCTGAACTGAGCTAGCATGCGGCACGACCACAACATCGATAATATGAAAAATAGCTTACGTTCTTACTTGTGTTTTCTTGTTCCGAGCCAGGTCGGCGGCGGAGGCGGCCGGCTGGCCGGGCCGCGAGCGCCGCGTGTGCCCGCCCATGACGCCATAGTCGTCCGGCACGGAGACGGCCGCCGCCGGCTGGCTATGGTAACTAGAGTCTAGCTGGTGAGCACGGGGCTCTACCGGGCCGCAGGGGGTGAGAGCAGCTGTCAGTATACGGGGCAGGGGGCCCGCCGCCGCGCACCGCGCCGCCGAGACGGCAGCTACGGACGGACACTACATACAGGGGCCCGGCGCGACCGCACGGCCGGCCGGGCACAGCCACGCAGCTACGACCACACCGGAGGGAGCGACGGTACACTATCAGGTAAGGGCACAACATATTGGAAACAACGCAGGTCTCTCCGCTTAACACAAACACTGCCGGTCTAGTCTCTACGTAATCTACAATAAACGGTCGAATATGCTGCTGTTCTGTTGCTCACAAAAAGTCTTAGATACATACATGTGATTGGATTAAGGTAACTACCCCACCCTCACACATGGTTTTGATTTGACATAGCCAAATTGAGGCCACTGGCTCTCAATTACCGATCTGGGTACTGGCAACATCGAGAAATACCTTTTTCGGAAATGTTTAATTTTAAAGTTTACAGCACTCGAATTCTAAGGGGCTAATCCATTTGGATGACTAGTTATGCGCAAATTTGAAAGCCAGCACAGATTTAGTGATTTTCAAAGATATTAGTAAAACTTTGGTCAAAGCTATATATGGGTATATACTGAAACTTAGCACAATATCTGTCGCACTCCACGGGATTCCAAGCTACTGTTTCCAGGTCTACGTAAAGCAAAGTGCTTATGACTGGTGGCGCATGAGAACTGTGAATTTTGTTTTAAAAATTTATCAGTGAAATTTTTATCGGTGAATTTTGGCTAGCACTCGTTTAAGCTCTTCTTGAACAATGGATTTAAGATAAACTTTAACTCTAAACCCTAACCGGCCGAGGAGGGTCGGTGCTGCCTTCTGACGTTTTTTTTTTTCGCGATTACTTGGGAACACGCTCGTGATAGAGAGCTGAACGTTGGCACACCTTACCTTTAATTCGAGCCAGGTCTTGTGGCATCAATCGAATTTTCAGGTCAGGTCAGTTCACTGCCCTTATATTACATCATAAGTAAACATTTGCGCAGTCCTAAAATTATGTAACTTCGTAACGCTCCGAGTGGCAGAGGAGCTTTCCAGGGAGATGACACATACATAACTTAGTATCCTTTCAAGGCTTTACAGCTGGTATATCTCTGATTTTTCCAAGGGTCACCCAAATCTAGGTCGCTCGTGCGTGAACTTGCCATTATAGGTCAATGGGGGAGGGAGAAAATGAAAGCTGCTATTTTGGAGCCGAGAATGATCTAAAACTACCTTGAGCCAATGGAATAATGATTTTATGCACCCCTTGCAAAGTTTTGTGTCTTACTTTTTCATCATTGACCTTGCGTGACGTCATTTATGACGTCGCTAAGGTCATAGGAGTTTTTCGTTAATAACTCCTGATCTTAAGCTAGCGAGTCGGAAAAGCCACTAATGAACTTAGCAAGAACTGCCAAATCGAATGATATGCGTTTTGATCTCCTCCGACCAGCTTCTGACCTGACCTTGACCCGAGGTCAACAGGTTAAGTTGACCGTACCTAAACAAGAAGTAAAAAAAAAAAAAAATTTGATGTGCCTGCGCATGGAAAGCACGATGGTGCCAAAATCGCGACTCTGAAACCATTTTCGAGAGGTTATTTAGCGTAACCCGAACCCGTACCTTGGGTCATTTGATCTGACCTCAGAGGTCACCGGTTGACCTGAGATTTTAAAATCGAGTACCAGTCTCTGCGTCTCGTAATAACGCATACGATCGTTTTTTTTTTTAATCCGCGAAGCTCTAGCTCAGCTGAGGGCGAAAGAGCAAAAGGGTAGAACTCCGTCCATCGGGACGCATGTAGAAAACTAATAGGTCCGGCGAGGGTCAAGTGTTAGTTTGACTATGTTCCGGTTTCACCTTTTTCTGTCAGGTCTGATCTTAGCTTTAGGTCACATTATAAAGTTGACTTGTTAAGGTTAAACTTAAGTTTATTCGCCACATCTTGACAAGAAAACCAGGATCCTGGTTAAAATTTATCTCCTGAAATCCTCATGTGAAAAGACATTGCATAAAACGTTTTTTTTAAGAGAAATGCCAATCTTGACATGTACCATTGACATTGAGGAGTCCACTTGTTGACCTGACCTCAAATATGAGGTCTCATTTACAAACCAGCTATGAACGTTTTGCGGTAATAGTCCCCGAACGCTTAGAGATAGCAGTGCGAGACTTTAAAACCTTACCCAATCCATTTTGACATATTCTTGAGTAAAAAGAGTCTGCTTAATGACATCATAGGGTCGTTTTTTCTAGATCCTTGCACAATAAATTTAAACGTCACCGTCATATCTCGTCCGAGGGGAGGGAGAGGGCTCCCGGCTCATAGTTTTTTCGCGGTAGCTCAAAACACTCGGGCGATAGAGAGCTGACCTTTAATTCAAGCCGTATCTTTTGACACCAACCGCATTTTCAGGTCAGATCAGGTCACTGACCTTTGATGTCATAAGTGAGCCTCTGCACGGTCCTTAGATGTCGCAACTTGACAACGCCCTCACCTCAGTGCCAGAGGAATTTTCACAGGGAGATGAAACTTACAGGACGTAGTGTCCTCCAGGGGTCTCACAACTTGTAGGCCTCGGATTTTTCTTAAAGGTCACATGAGGTCAGGTCGGTCACGTGACTTCACCAATCACCATTATAAGCCAATGGGGAAGTATGGAAATTATTGTTTTTGCGCCTGGTATGATCTAAACTACGAGTATCTCAATCCTCAAGAACATGGAATCGTGATTTCATGTACTCCTTGGAAGGTCCGATGCTTCACCTTTGCGTTGTTGACCTTGCGTGACGTCATTTATAGCGTCACTAAGGTCGTAAGAGTTTTTCGTCATGAACTCACGATGATCAAATTAAGCTAAAGAGTCGAAAAACCACCAATGGACTCAGAAAGATCTGCCTAATCGAATGATATGTGAACTGACCTCATTCGACCAGGTTCGTGACCTGAGGGACTCTGACCTGACCTTGACCCAAGTTCAACACCCAAAGTTAACCTCACCTAAACAAAAAGTAAACCATTCGACGCGCCTGAGCAAGGCGAACACGATGATGCCAAAATCGCGTCTCTGTGGCCATTTTTGCAAAGTTATTTCCCACAAACCGAACCCGTGACATGAGCCACTTGACCTGACCTCAAAGGTTGCCGGTTGACCTGAGACCTTAAAATCGGGTGGCAATCGCTGCGCCTCGTAACGGCGCACACGCTCGTTTTTTCCGCGAGGCTCTAGCTCCATTACGGCGAAACGGCGGGGGGGGGGGGGGGGGGGCTGCACCAACCCTCCCCTAGGCCGGAGCGTATACCTACAGAAAGCCAGTAGGTCCGGCAAGGGTTAAATGCCGTTTGTTCCAGTAGCGGCGGAACACCTTCAATTAAGGGGGGGGGCACTGCCGGCTTTTGGTCCCATTCTTTCCATGCAACGCCTATAGGGCTAATGTTAAAATGCCAAAATCAAAGGGGGGCACGGTGCCCCGGTGCCCTCCCCGTTCCGCCGCCTATGGTTTGTTCAATGTTTCCGTGATGGAAACGGTCAAGTAAAGCGGCTCTGATGGAATGGACAAGATACATACAAGGTCACTATTCAAAAAGTATCGACTCAAGTAATGATTTCATTGTGCTTTGAAGTCTCCTAAAAGTCATTTTAAAATATGGCACGGAATGTCTCGTTTTAAACTATTGCATCATGCTTCAACTTATATGGCTGAATTGCTTTTCTTCAGATTGCCAGGATGCAACATGGATGAGCTTTTAGGCACAGTGACATCAAATACATACATGCGTTTAGTTTGAGCACATGAAACATAGTTTTGTCTACACAGTGCGTCATGATGCAGTGTCAACAAAGTCGTAACTATTTTTGGGCCCAATAATTCCCACAGCCAAATAGCATATATGTAATTCTGCCACTGGAATGTGTTTAAGTATACAGTGCTGCTGCTTGAGAGCCATGCAATCCGTTTTATGTAGTGATAGTTGCGTAATATTTGCAAGTGCATAAGAAAATATAAACGTTCTGTGGCCGTTTTGATAACAGTCGTGAGTCACGAATAATCGGTATAGATAAGACAGCACACAAACTTTCTTAAATATCATCTAGAAGCATATTTGTATGCCTACTAATTCCAGAGCTTTGCTTAATTGCAGTACGGACAATCGTTTTGAGCTCAGTGTCGACATTGCGATAACGTCAAATCGTGTAGCAGGCCCTGTACCTGTTCTTATATGTAGCAGGCTGTTTCCCACCCTGGAGTCCCTGTGTTAACAGTCGAGGGTATTCGGCGGTCGTTGTTCTTCGGCGTTGATAGCGTTCGTGCGTCTATCGTGAGTAATTTTGATTCAAAGAAGAAAAACTTTACAGGACATTTTACAATTCATTTATTTAGCGCAAGCCACTAGCTAAAATTCATGTGTGGAAGTTGCAACATGGGCGCAATTACCAACGATTCTATTGCAAAAGGCGAAACAGTTTCTGTCAAAATAAACGACCAGCCATTGAGTGTGTTCCCGTCAATACAAATCATAAATACATATACGGGCAAATATATGTACGCAAGAATCTCAGATATCTGAGATCATATACACGTGAATTGCTGACGCGAATCCTTAACATGTCGATCAAATCAAGCAGTTAAAAAGGGGCACAGACGAACCCTATATCATTCTACAAAGGTACGTTGTCATCGTCCGTCACTATAACACATATGGCAGCAATAACTTACAGTGATACCTGTACAACACAAGCAAAAGCGTGCGGCTCAGTGGCAGCGATTTGTGCTTCCTTGCTTTTCGTTCATGATATGACAGGAATGCCACAAAACCAATCACCATACAATACTGTACAAATCTGGAGCCCATGTAAGGCACAAACCAAACCGACGTGTGGGTATAGGGTCACATTCGGCCGAGTCGAGTCCCATCCGCTCGCGGGCCGGGTGCTGCAGAGTGAAGCCAGCCATTCACAGAGCAGTTGCACGCTGCGGTTACGGCGTGTGACAAAGAAGCAGGCGCGGGTGACGGACAGGCCGCGAGCAGTGTGGCCGCCCTCAAAAAGGTATGGCACGACAACAAATGAAGCCAAAAAACACCTGAAGCGTTGGATACACAGGCCAGGCCACTAGACAAGCTAAGCGGTGAGAGAGAAACCATATCACACCGAACTCCAATGCTCAAGACTGACGAGGATAGAGAGGGTGGAGGTCCAACAACCATTCCAAACAGCGTTGCTCGCACAACACTAGATACATCAATGCCACCTCCGGTCATACTTGCCTTTGTATAATTTGCGCGCGCTGGGATCATCGGCTCTTTGTGTGTGACGCGACCGGGCCGCAGAGTCCATGCCAAGTGCGCCCGTAGCGTCCACTCTCTGTTTGCTGTAAGACGAATACTCGGGCATGGGGTCATAGTACAGTTCGTTTGCGTTGAAGGTAGCTGCCAGACGGTTCATGCTGCGCTCCTCGTCCGAGCTGGAGAACTTGCGGCCCACGCGGCCGTCCAGGTCGGGCCGGCGCGCCGGCGGTGAGCTGTAGTAGCTCAGGCCCGGGTCGGGCACACGCCGACCGTAGCCCTCGTCGCGCATGATCTCGTCAATGGATTTGAGCACCGAGTGGCCGCCGGAGGGTCGTCCCGGCGCGCCGGCCGGCTCGGAGCGGTCGCTCAGGCTCAGCTCGGCGCTCTCCCGCAGTCGCGCCAGCCGCAGCAGCTCGTCGTGCAGGCTCGAGTTCTCCTCGATGTGGTGCCGGCGCCGCGAGATCTCCTGTTTGATCTTGTGGCGCCGCTCGTCGCGGCCGATCAGCTCGTCCTCGTCATCGCTGCCGTACGGCGACGGGTGCCACGAGCGGGGCTTGCGCGCGCGCCGCGACAGCCGGTGGCGCGGACTGGAGTCGCCGCCGGGGTAGCCGCGCGACAGATCGGACGGCTGCAGGCCGCCGTCACTGAGCCGACGCTGAAGCGACCTACCGGACCAAAGATACGGACAGCGTCACCGCACCGAGCGACCCAGCAGGTCTGACACACGCGCAGCCGGCGCAGCGGCCGACCAGCAGACCAGACCACCGCCACAACTGGTCGCCATTAGAAACAGGTAACAGCTTCCCGGTGGATCTGGTTTCCTCCTCAAATCGGTTAGGTGAAACCACTCTACACTATAGTTGAGATATTCTGCACCACATTCATATGGAATTAACTTTCTCTTAAAATATAATCAACCGATGTGGTGAAGTACTTCCAAAATTGCTCAAACAAAGCGCCCTAGATTCAGCAACCATAACGAGCGATGCACACTAGAAATGGGAAACAGCGGTATACAGTTTCAATGGCTTTCACTTCACCGAAAATAAAATGATCGAAAATTTAGGACGACACACTTCCATTCGGCAAGTGATTCACATGATAAAATGCTTATAGATAAGCTTAATGATAAATCAAATGCAGAATATACATTACAGCAATGCATATGTCAAAGTATATCATGAATAGTTCATTGTCAAAAATCGCTTAATTGTACATTAGCTCATAATATACAGCCTAAACGGTCGTAGAACTTGAAACGTACGACGCAGACATTGTCCAAATGCACAATACAAGCGATAATCAAAACGTACATAATTTTGGAATCATCGCATGACAGTTTACGATTTACATAGTTGATAATGAAATTCCAAACTACAAAAAATCGGACAGGCGGAAAAAGTAGACAAAGGAGCTGCATCAGCCTGGCGATGGATGCAGCTTCCAGGCGAACTTCTCTAGTCAATCCCCTGAGCGTCTTCGCGCGGTCAATGACCTCAGTAAGCGCAGACAAACCATACACATACTCCACGAGCACGGCAGAGGGGACGCCGACGCGAGCAGGGGCGGCAGGCAGGCAGGCAAGCACCACGACAGCGGGGGTGGGGGGCCGGCCGACCGACCCGGCGCCCGGAACAGCGCCAAGCCGGGGGATGCAGCTAGCAGGCAAAACCGGTCAAACACCGCCGAGAGAGTACCTTAACAGAAGACAGTCTTTACATGGTGAACTCGTCATCCCAAACCCCTCTGCCCTCATTGGACCTGTGCGAGAGACAGAAAAACAAACTGCTACCGAGGGCACAGCTGCTGAGTGGGTATAGGAGAGCGGCTGATCTGACACAGGCGCCGCCTCTCGGCTAGGCGGTTATTGCGATCAGGGCAGGAATGGTGAGGAGGTAGACTATAGAGGCTCCTCCTATAGTTGCAGTTGTCCGACAGCAAAGGTCCGACGATATAAGCCAGATAAGATATGGAATCAGCTCGGATAACTTTAGCTCAAGGAAAGATAAATACGAGCATGATAAAACTCAAACATGATACAATCATGAACTAAATCGGTGCTCACATCACCTTACAAGACTCAAATGTGTATCATTGACAGCTAACTTTTCCCTATGAAACCGGGAATTCCATTTGCCATTGTGAGCTTGAAAATTATCAACGGATGCCGTTATATAAAGCCTGATATGGAAAAGAGCTCGGCGGAGGTGTTTCAAATGAGGCATATGAACACAACGCATTAAAAACAGATGAATCAGATTAAACTTACGAATTATTACCAACACAGATCGAAAAGCAAATCTGATAGAAATGAAAGGGAGAGGATTAGGCACGATAGTTCTATATCTTCTGCGACAAACCAATATTCAGGAGATGTTGCTTATATATAGGAAACATGGGTGAAAACACTCACTACAGAAACACACACGCTTCTCAACGCCATTAATTAATCTCGTTCCACGTCTCATCCGACGCATCCTCACACACCTAAACTTTTCGAAGAAATACACGAGCTAAAGGGAGCGGAGAGCGCGTACCGGTGAGTAAGGGCAGTCGGCAGGGAGTGCTACACGAAACACGCACACACACTCCTCTACAGACTAGGGCCGGCGATCGGGCTCCATCGCCGGCCGCTGCAACACGTGACATTCAGGACTACGTGGGGAGAGATAGACAGAGCCAGAGAGCGAGAGCGAGAGACAGAGAAGCGGTGACGGCGGAGTGGGCGCGCTGAGACGCTCTCACCTGGCGCCGGCGCCGGCCAGCCGCCGCTCCAGACCGTCCTCGCCGCCCAGGTAGGCGCTGATAGCCGTATCGCGCAGACCGCCGCCGTACGGGTACGAGCCGATATACGGCTGGGACGGGTCACCCCAGCCGCCGGCGCCGCTCCGGTCCAGACGACCGCCGTCCAGACTCTCGTACTCGAGCGACTTGAGCCGTGAGCCCAGCACACCGCCGTAGCTCTGCGGCGGGACGGCGGGGACACGGGTCACACGCAGTCGACAGGTGATCAATGCGGTGGAAGGGAAGAAGAGAGGCGAGCACGGCCACGAATGTTAAACTGATCATGTCCTATCCTAAGTCTTCGGATGTGTGTCGATCCGGCAATTGAAGTATTGAATGAAGTAAACTGTGTTGTAGCTAGGATTCTAGCTAGACGGCTGTGTAGACCGTCTTGTAAAATAGTTGTTTTTGAGCTGTTATACTCGTACATAAGGAAAGACACTGCAGTTATCCTTAACTATTTCTAGCAATGTTCAGTGGTGTTCTGCCGTTCCTTACCATGAGCATATCCTCGTCGTCCCTGATTGGAGAGACGTTGGCGCTGAACAGCTTCGGATCGCTGAGGTGACGGCGACCGACTGGAAACCGGCGCCGGCGCAGCGTCGGGCTGAAGGACGTCAGACCCATCCGCTGCTCAATTCTGGAAGGGCAGCAGCTCGGTCCGTCTCACAGGGAAGACCTCCGCGACAACCGACATCACATAACCGTCTGTTTCCATCACAAGTTCCAAATTCAGTCGAGCTTGTTTGATGGCCTGACTACCTTCGTTGACGAACAAACGATAAAGTCAGGACGCTCACCTCTGGCGGGTGGCTGGTGACAGGTTGGTCTGGCGCAGTGTGCGCCGACGCTCCTCATTCAGCGCAGACAGCTCGGCCTCCAGGAGGCGGCGCTTGTCGTCTGAGGCGGTCCGCAGCTCGTTCTTCAGGCTGTTTGCGTACGTCAGCTGAGACAGAGCGGGGCGGGGTGGGTGGTCACCTCTCTGGCAGAGACCGATGCCCTTTCGCATCACCTTCAGATCGCCAGTCTCGCCTCATCCACCCACTCGTCCGGTCTACCAAAGTGCGGTCTCTGCCGCCCACTGCCACCGTCGCCGCCACCCACTGCGCCAAGGGCGCCGTCAACCACCGCCCACCGCCCACTGCGCCTCCTCTTCCCCGTTGCCACCGCCCACTGCCCCTCCCTCTCCATCCCCGTCGCCACCGCCCACTGTCCCTCTCCCCACCCCTCCCCTCTCACCCCGGGCGCAGCGCCGCCATTCCGGTGCCCCGTCGTTCAGCAGTCGATACGAGGGTCGGCGGGCGGCGGCGGCGGCCGATATACCGGTGCTGGCCGACGCCTGTAGCGACGGTGATAAAATGCGGCAACGGCACCGAATGGGTGCTGGTACGGATGGGTCACAGCGGACCGAGCTGTGGCGGTAGGATAGAGACGGACAGAGCGCGAATGGAATACCAGAGGGACCTACTGCAGTGAACGAACGGGTACAGATGTGGAACAGACGAGGCATGGATGGGAAATGTCAGTGCACACGGGGGAGGGATCCGGGTGCAGTCGAAATGAAGTCGGAATTATCATAAGGGCTCATAAAGGGTTATTTTAAGGTGAATTGGAATACAAACGAGCACCCATACGATACCCGTGCTCTTGACATTGGACGGTGTCCATAAATGAGTCCGTGGATGTTTGGTCAATAAGCTAAGCTTATCCAATTGTCTCACCTGATTGGCGAACGTCTCGGAGAAGGAGGACGAGACGCCGGGCCGGCTGTAGACCAGGTGCTGCAGGTCCGGCGGCAGAACGGACGCGATGCTGGCGTTCAGGTTCTCCCGGGCCGCCTCTGCTCCAGGCGGGAGGACACACATACCAATCAAGGCACAATAGGGAACAGGACACCTCAAGGCAAGGCGAACTGCATAACATATTTTTTTAATCACTTTGATTTATCCTTCGTTTTATGGAATGGCTAGCATAAATATGATAACCTAAGTAGGCACAGATAAATGGTCGACTGCTTTTCTTCTTCTTCTTTTTTACAGCCAAAGATATCAGAGATCGTTTTGACCTTCTTCTGGTAGCTGGGAACGGTGACCCCAGGCTGCAGGCAGGGCCACCACAGCTGTTCCCTATTCCGAAGGTCTGAGGAATCCGCGGAATTCCGAGGTCTCCTGTCCACTCCCTACACTCACCCAGCGATGCCAGCCGACTGGTCTCGCTCATGATGCCCAGCGCCGAGCCGGGTCGGGCCGGCAGCTCCGGCAGCGGCGTCTTGGCGGCAGCCGCCAAGTTCGTCATGCTGGTGCTCGGACGCGCCATGGCCAGGCTGTTGAGCGAGGTGGGCTCCCGCAGGTCCGCGCTGTCCAGCGACGTCTGGCGGTACAGGCCGCCGTGCCCCCTGGCCGAGCAGGGTGAGGGCGTCATTCCGCGGCGCTAACTTTGCAGGCCAGACATTCTTCCCACGATACCGATTAAGAAAAGTTAGCTGGTCAGTACGAAGAGCGCCGAGTTGCATGCTCAACTTCTCAGGGTTAACTCGCCTCAGCCCGAGCACAGCTGAGTCTCTTCTATAGATATCGTTAAAGAAGGGGAGCCGTGCCAGGTCGAACAAAGTACCAGTAAAACGCCTTTTGGGCGAAGAACGAGCGAGCGAGATAGTGAGCCCTGCACGTGCAGAAGGGCGAGAGGGTACTTCCAACGGGCTTGTGCAAAGCACCCTTCTAACCGGTCGCTAGTGGTGTACCAAATTTGAACGCAATCGGCCCAGCCGTTCCTTAGATCTGGAAGCGGCATTCTGCACGTGCGCACGTGCAAACGGGGTCCAAAATGACTTTTGCACGGCACCCTACTAAGTACTAACCGGTCCCCAACCGTGTACCAAATTTGAGCGCAATCGACCCAGCCGTTCTCGAGATCTGGAAACGCCCCCTGCACGTGCGCACGTGCAGTAGCACCTTAACCGCAACACATGGGAATGCATTGTCTGGTGGGTGCCTACCTGTATGCCAAGTTTCAGCGAAATCGCCCCACTGTAATTACCAAGTTATTAAAATGGGAACAAATTTGACACCTCTTATTATTGTATTTTGCACGTGCACTGGGGGTGACCCACATGCATCGAGAGTATCCTATTTTTGGTAGAAGGGATGCTGCTACCCTACAAAAATTACCGCAAGACAATCGCCCAAGCGGCTGCTGAGATATGAGCCTCTCAAAATCACTACTTTTGCAAAACAGCTTGAACACCCTTGACTTTTCACGTGGCACGTGCCACGACGGTCACTGAGATGCATCAAAAGTAGTCAATTACGGGGTAGAAGGGATGGGGCTACCCAACAAAAAAGACCGCAGGCCAATCGGTCCAGCTGTTGCTGAGATATAAGCCTCTCAAAAGCGTTACAGGCCGGGCCGGGCCGGGCCGGGTCGGGCCGCTCATACTGAGATTTTCCGTTATATTGAAAAGACTCACTTCGCTCGCTGCGCTCGCTCGCTCGTAATAAGCACTTATCATGGACACTTATGAAAAAATTTACTCGCTATCGAAAGACTAACGAGTTACAAGAAATCAATACGTCTTGTGCTGAGCAGTAGGCATCAATGAGCCTTTTCACTACATCTATAAATAGAAAGTGTCACGCTACTGCAATAGAATATAGAATCTAATGAACCTTTTCTCTGAAGACAGAAACATGCCTAATTTTAGCGTGAGAGCGCAGTAGCTAATTATACCAGACTATAAAGACTCGGTCGACTGTAAGTAATCGTTGACGTGAACGTCTCTGGGCAGCGCCACGGGGCAGATACAGGAGACCTGAGTCGCTCTCGACCACAGGAGAAGCGATCACACTCACCTTTTGCCGAGCAGTTTGTGTTTGTCGCGTTTTCTGGCGACGGGGAGCGGCGCAGCCTCCTGATCCATGGGCAGGTATGGAAGCTTTCGACGGATTCGCAGGGACTTTTGGCTGTCCGTTTCGCTCATCGTGTCTGATGAGTCATCGCGCAGGCCGCGGGGAGTGCCGGCAGGGGTGACCGGAGTGCCCACAGGAGTGCCTAGAGGGTGAGACCGGAATCAGAGAGGTCAAGAAGTGTATGAGGAGGTAAATGAAGAGTTAGAAGAGGCGATGAGGTAGCTAAGAAGTACTTACATAGAGTGCTCAGAGAGGATGCGAGGAACGGTATGACATTCCGATACCTAATGCTAAGACGAAGCATCATTTATCCGTCATATTTGCTCAGCCATGTTTAGAAAGAAAGGCACCAGCTAAGACGTCATAACATGCAATCACTGAGTCATTTTTGAGACAGGTACGCAAGCTATCACAGTAGATAATCAGAAACACTGCGTGCAAGTTACCACGCCTAAAAAACGTTGTGATTGCTCGGCTCAGGCGCATACCTTGTATAAATACCGGACTGGTATAAATTAGGTCCCCGGTGATTGGATGTCGCCTGGAACAAATAACACGACTCTGTTACTATAGATGTCGTCAGACGTCAACTTTGTCACGGTACACTCCTCACTGAATCTCAGCAAAGCACAATGTGTTGTCAGTATATCATTAGTCTCACAAATACGATGACACATACGGTATCCACATAAAGTGAGCATAATTAATTTGTGGGTAGATGAAAAACTGAAAAGTCGCCAGCACTTACAAACCCTGGAATTTTTATGGGCACAAGGCTTCAGCCGCGCCCCATATCACCAACACATCTCTCGGCTGACGTCACCAACACTGACCGCTGCCCCGTCCCGCGGGCGGAGGTGGGTGCGGGGGAGGGGAGGGCGCCCCGCCAGCCGCCGGCCTCATTACCTCACAATCGGCTCCACGTGAGACGTCATCTGCGTTGCCATGACAGCAGGCGTTTGATTGGCCACCAGCACGATGGGCGTGGTCGTCTTCATTTGAGCGCTCGCTGAGAACAAATGATGCGGTTTATTAAAGGCCCAGCCACGGTAAATTAAGCCCGAGCATATGACGGCCGGGCTGTATTTAGAACTGTAGCGACGTCACGAAAGTTTACGTTGGGGATCGGCTGAACTATTTGCAGAGCTCTAAATGTGCTAGAAAGTTTTTGTTGTGGCAGCGGAATACTTTGAGAATAAAAGCAAACAAAAGTTAGCTCATTGAATGCCCCTGAAAACGTTGCAAACACCAAACAAAAACGTTCACTGTTATACATTTTCCTACCATAAGAGGCTCCAAGACCGTAAATTAATTGTTAAGGCTAAAAGCTCAAGCTGGTTCCTGTGAGTCCTCCTGACGGGCAAATGTAAGATAACGTACGCGTCTGTAGCCCTAATAGTGTCTCTTGCTAGCCCATTACGAGGAAACAGGGTCTAGGGATCGGGCGAGCTTAGGTATCGGCGCATTGTGCCTTAACAACTGGAGATATGGACCCTTATCTTGAGAGTAAGTATGCCGCCAGTATTGTCTGGCTCGGTTAGAAGACTGTCGCTAAACGGCGCTAGCTGTCTAGCTGCTACCAGCACTGTAGTTCCCGGACTGTCTCTCGATTGCCAGCCTTGCTGTGTGTCTCAGGCTCTATGTCTTAGACTGTATGTATCAGACCGTCCCAGTTTGTGACACTCTACCTCGAATGGTCTGTCCGGAGCACTTCTCCCCTGTGGTTGTCGATCCCGGCAGCACGGAGGCGGTCGGCACTGTCTGTCTCGGGGCGTTTGTTTCTGCCTCAGACTGTCTCCGACTCACCTGTGACGGTCGACCCCGGCAGCAGCGAGGCGGTCGGCACTGTCTGTCTCGGGCGGTTTATCTCTGTCTCAGACTGTCTCCGACTCACATGTAACCGTCGACCCCGGCAGCAATGAGGCGGTCGGCACTGTCTGTCTCGGGCGGTTTATCTCTGTCTCAGACTGTCTCGGACTCACCTGTGACTGTCGACCCCGGCAGCAGCGAGGCGGTCGGCACGGCCTGGTAGAGTCGTGCCGCGCCGGCCGTGTTCGGTTGCTGGTGCTGCAGCAGGCGCTGTTTGCGCTGGTGCTGCGCCTGGTGGTGCGCCGCCATCTGCTGGTGGTACATGACCTGCTCGGCGGTCAGGCCGGACGGGTAGCCGTAGGCCGGGTCCAGGGCGGCCGCCGGGTCCGCCGGCGCCGCCATCGGTGCCGCCATCGACACTGGCGGTCGGCCGTAGCTCGCCTGGGGCCTCATGTAGCCGGCGGCCGAGACCGGAGCCGTCGAGCGAGGTACAGACTTGTCCGTCTGACCGCCTAGACCTGCAGGGAGAGCCCAGTGGGATAGCGTCAGAGGTGAGATACGGTCAGAGGTGAGCCAGACAACATCAGCTCAGGCCGTAAGATCGTCATTGGCCAACAGACGACAATAACACAGCCGAAACGCCGTCAAGTGACCCATAGTCTACGTTTGGTGTGGGGCAGACCTTGACCCATAGACCCATTGAATTTGTCAAACATTCAATTAGTTCATGGTGTTCTTAATTATTCGAAAACTAGCACGCAATGCTTTAAAGGTAGTGTGCCAGCTTTCTTGGACCGTATGGAGTTAATGGCCCAGATAAGGAGAACCGGATTTTTAGAACTTATCCATACCTTCAAAACTCATGGAAACGTCTTAAATTCTTCAAATTTTGAGTACCCCAGTGCGAAATTCGCCCCGACGGGTTGTCGGTCGTACCCCAACCACATTTCACACCACTATGAACAATAAATGCACACACTGAAATCGCTATTACCGATATGCTCATCCAATCAAGTTTCGATAAACCCGTTCATCATCATCTCCTGCGGTTTCGAACACGCCTGTTAGGTGGCTTCTGATGCTCGTCGAGGTCGGAATTTCCCAATACGCGTGGTGCGTCGGGCCGCGCGCTCTGACTTCGGCCAAGAAAAATGCGTCAGCTGATCATTGTCATTTCTGCCACTTGCGTGTGGTGAAATGGGGTCATAACTTATAAGACGGCTTTTTCATATCAATTATTTTACATAAAATCATATTTCAAACCATAAATAATGTTCGACAGCCAAATAAAAGAAACAATACCAATACGGGCTTACAGTTTCAAGGCTCGACATTGTGTTGTCTACGATTAGACAGCTGATAACTCATTCCCGTACGTCGTATGGTCGTAACACTATAATGACCTTTGCTTATTGTCACAAGTGCGCCGCATTCGCGATTGTTGCCCGACGCCTGTTTGCAGGTGAGGCCACTACAGTTGTTATACATATCTAAAAACCGAAAAACTTTTAGGCGAAAAAGGCACTATTCCAGGCCCATTTTTGATTTTTTTGCGATATTAGGTAAAAACAGAAGCTTCTTATCCTAGGAAAAATAAGATGGGAAATCTTTCAAAGGTGGCACACTACCTTTAAAAGATATAGCGTTAACATTTACATATCGAAGGGGTGGTGCGGGGTGCCTACGGGCGTAATTTGGCTCAATCAGCCGCGCGTATTGATGCAGCCCGCGGAGGGCCGGATCGTGTTGCGCTCCCAGTGACCCTAACAAGGTTGCTCGTTACCGCCTGTCGACTCGTCAGACAGACAGACAGACAGACAGACAGACAGACAGATAGACAAATAGACGCCGACGGACCGGACAGAGTCGCACAGACACCACGCTGCCGTCGCTGCCTATCGAGAACGTGCATAAAGAAAAAAGGGTCCTATGGATGAAATTAATGAGTATTTTAGGTAAATATGAAGCGGAAATGATTATAAACGAGCGCTAGAGGACGCATCGCATACATGTCGTTCGATTAGGTGAAGCAGCGGAATTTCTACGGGGTCCATTTGACCAACGATGTTTTACAAATATTAATTACCTAACCCCATATAATTGGCAAAAAAGGCGTCAAAGCGTAGCTATGATGTCCTTTCGAAGCGCATATCGGCGTGAGTTACAGCGCTGGTATGGTCGATGGCTATTCCCCTGCTGAGCGTGTACTCACCCAGCGCCCTGCTGAAGTCGGCCAGCATGCCGCTGATGGAGGAGCCCTGGCCGCCGGTCGGACGCACGCCGCCGGCCATGCTGGTCGGCTGCTGCTGCTGCGGCTGCTGGTACAGCTGGTGCGGACCCGTCACCGGCGGGTAGGTCGGGACGCTCTGCTGACCCGGGCCCAGCTGGCCGGGCAGCGGCTGGGCCGTCATCATGTGGCCGGGCATGGTCTGCGCGGCCGCCATCTGAGCAGAGACCATCGGGCCGGAGAGGACCTGGTCCGCCGGCAGCTGGCCCGGGTACGAGCTGTTTGGTACGGCACCAGTGGCGTTGGACAGGCCCAGAGACGCCGCCTGCTGCTGCTGAAACGTGCCCATCGCCTGCGGCTGCTGCGGCTGCTGCTGCTGTTGGAGGTGCTGCTGTTGCTGCTGCTGCAGCTGGTGCTGCTGCTGCTGAAGGTACTGCTGCTGCTGCTGCTGTTGCTGTTGCTGTTGTTGTTGCTGTTGTTGTTGGAGCTGTTGCTGTTGCTGGAGGTGCTGCTGCTGCTGCGATTGTAGCTGTTGTTGCTGCTGAAGTTGCTGCTGGTATTGCTGCTGCGGTTGTGAGAATGGAGCTCCGATTGCTGACGACATTGTCTGGTCGATCATGGACGACGGCTGAAGGCCCTGTAAAATGGCGGCCGAATTCAATAATCGCTGCTTATTTTCTGATTTAATTAGATTTATACTTTCTTTGTAGTCTAATTCTCTTATATTTGTACCCATATAGTGTAGCTTGAACACCAGATATAAATGCCGGCCCTTATTTATAGGCATTTGGAACTAATTAAATATTATAGTTTTAGAATGTGTCAGCAATGAAGTCATGAAGAAAAGAAAATGGCAGGTCAAAAAACAACACTTTCATTGTCAAAATGTGTATAAGCGCTCAATTTAAAATAGAATCCCGTACATCATTGGCTGAAATGCCGTAAAATCAACCAACATTACTGTGAAGATAAGATATAATACCTACACCTGAAAATACTTAATTTTTATACATAGGTACAATTAAATATCATCATTAAAATGTAGTGTAACAGGTCTATAAAGTATACCTAACTATTCTATTAATTTCAGATAAGCAGGACCAGACAAGCGGTCACAGGTTTATCAGCCAGGGGTACTCATCACAGTTTTGTTTCAATTTGTATGATTTCCCGGAGGCTAACTTCACATGATTTCATCACTGCACGCTCTTATGTTTCGGTGGTTTTATATGTCATCGGAAGTAATCCCTATCGCTGCTACCGCCCTTGCCTTCTCGTCATAAAATCATACTCAAATATCTATCATCAAAAGTGCATTAGATGTATCTTCCTCATTTCGAGCCTCTACATAGCCTGGGACGTATACGTGCGAAGTCACCGGCCGGGCCCAGTCCTACAGAGACCCGAGTCAAGCCCAGTCCCCCCACTTCCGACGGACTGCACTGGCGCGCTGATTTGCTGGAGTCCGCTCACCTGGCCAGCGCTGACGAGCGACACGTCGGCGCTCGACGGCGCCAGGACGGGGCCGTTCATAGCCGGCACGCTGTCGACACCGGCCTGGCCCGGCCACTGCCCACCGTCCGTCGGAGGGTAGCCGGCCCCCTGCTGAGAACCCGGGTAGCCCTGGTGGTTGGCCGCCGTGTAGCCGTCAGAGGTGTTCGGGTAGCCACTCTGGCTGCCCGGGTAACCCTGAGCGGCTGGGGGCTGGCTGACCGGCGGGTAACCCTGGCCGGGGCCCGCCGCACGGACGCCCGGCTGTCTCGGGGGTTCGCCAGGGTAGCCTCGCAGACCTGCCCCTGGTCCCAGAGAGCCGTTGTGCCCGGTAGTGAGCGCCGGCCGGTTGGGTACGCCAGTGGCGCCTCGCATCAAGCCACCGCCGACCGTCGCCGGCGCCGGAACGGAGGCAAACGCGGAGGGCTGCTGGCCCGACAGCGCCAGCCGCGGCTGCTGCTGCAGCTGCTGGTGCTGCTGGTGCTGCTGGTGCTGCGGCTGCTGCTGGTGGTGCTGGACGGGTGGTACCGGACTGGCCATCCGAGCAGTGAATGGGCTCGGTTGCGGCCCGCCGCCGGCACCAAACTGGCCGCCGCCGACCGGCATGCCGAACTGAAAGGGGCGATACACGACGTCAGGGGAACGGCGCGACTGGTCGACTGGCCCGTCCCACCGACTGCTGCAGCTGCTCAGAGATCTCCAGAGCAGTCGTCACCTGCCCACCGGTCCTGAGGCCACGTCGAGCGGAAGCAGACCACACTGAGAGGCATGCAACTATCGCTACGACTAGAGACAGTGGTCACAACTAGTTGAACATCGATCTTCAGCGGTGCTTCTGGAGGCAATCGGAGAGGAACAGACCATGCGACATCGATATAGAATAGTGCAGTAGCAACACATACATGCTGCGACGGAAGTACCAGGGTGTCACCCAGCGTGTGCCTCTATACATACGGACGGCATAGTTTTATCCGATCTAATCAGCAGATAGGGCCACTATCAATAAAGGTATCGAGTGAGGAAGGACATACCTAAATAAGCGTTGACTGCGACACCAACACGAAACATGCAATGAAGAAGCCACTGAGCCTGGACGGGAGTCTATAGACGCTAAGAACGATAAAACAAAGAACACAAACAACACACACTAAATCTAACAGGTGATGAGCTAGCTAAATATGCTGTTTAGTGTTTATTTCTTCTTCTTTTTTTTGGTGAATGAAATTCTAAGGATTTAGTAGCGTTTCGTCATACGTTAAAGGTAACTATGGAGGCCTGCTAAAGCCATTTATTGGTGAGAGTTTTATCAATAGGAGAGGAACAAATATCTACTCCAATACCATTCATTGCCCCAGGCTGGCTATGCCGCCGTGCTGACTGCGAATCCCGCTCACTTGTCCATGAGTGTCCAGCGCACCACGACCGTGCGACTACCGAGTGTTTACTCTGCCCACTGATAGTGCCATCATGGTAACTGCTGACCCTGCCCAGTGCCCAGTGCCCAGTCTATTGTTGACCAAGCACATTCTCCCCTCCCCATCCAAGACCTGTCGAACATCACTACCGCACCGACTCGCCCTGCCCAGAACCTGCACTGACCCCGTTCACCGGCTGTTCGTCGGCATGTATTCGCCCCTCCCCGGGCGCGGTCACACGTTCCCGGTAGTGTGTAGTAGCCGTGTGGGACACGACAGCCGGTGCTGGCTGTCACGCCAGGCCGGCCGGGTCGCGTCGCCAAGGCAGCGGCGTGACAACACGGCAGATGGAGCGCCGCCGCCGCCGCCGCCGCCGCCGCCGCCGGGCACGGCCGTCCGCCGCGCCGTCCGCCGAGTCGGACCCGGCACCGCACCCGGATCAATACGCGGCGGCGGCCACGGAGGGCGTCCCAGGGACCGGTGGTGGGTGGTGAAAGGGACCGGTGGTGGGCGGTCAAAAGGACCGATGGTGGGTGGTGAAAGGGACAGGTAGAGGGCGTCCCAGGGACCGGTGGTGGGTGGTGAAAGGGACCGGTGGTGGGTGGTGAAAGGGACCTGTGGAGGGTGTCCCAGGGACCAGTGGAGGGTGTCCCAGGGACCGGTGGTGGGTGGTGAAAGGGACCGGTGGTGGATGGTGAAAGGGACCGACATGGTGGGTGGTCAAAGGGGTGGGTTGAGGGAATTCCAGGGGCTGGAAGTGGTTTGCTTATTGGAGCTTTAGGGCGCGCCGACTGCTGGGGTCGTTTTGCGCCCAGGACTGGAAGTGGGCGGTCGAAGGACCCGATAGGGTCCCACATACCGATGACGTAAGGGACCGGCGGTAGGTGACCAAAAGAGACCGTGGTGGGTGGCCAAAAGGTTCGATGGTGGATCTCCAAAGGGATCGGCGGAGGGGTACCGGGACCGATGGCGGCGGGTGGCCAAAAGGAAGGGTAGAGACTAGAGAGAGCCCTGGGGACGGGCGCAGTGGTTAGTGATCAAAACGACCGGCGCAGTGGTGGGTGGGCAAAGGAACCCGTGGTGGGTGAACAAAGGGACCAGTGGTAAGTGGCTCCAAGGATCAATGGTTGGTAACTTCGGGAACCAGTGGATCCATCAACCGATGACTCAAGGGAGCGATGAGAAGCTCAGGGACCAGTGGTTTCATTGACCAATTGGTCTGAGGAATCGGTGGCTTTATGCACCGATATAAGATTAAGGTATCGGTGGCTTCGCCGCTTCAAAGACCGATGCAGAGAGGAGCTGTGGGACCGTTCGGAAGGGCATGAGAGACCAATAACTCGAGGGACCGACTGGAGGCTGAGGGACCAGTAGTTGCAGGAGCCGATGGAGGGTTGAGGCCGAGGGACCGATGGGTTCACCGCTTCAGGGACGAATGGGATGGTGATTGGGCTGAGGGCCCTATGCATAAGAGGATTAATAGCGGGTGATACCAGAAACCACTGATGATATGCATGACTACACAGGCCGATGAAGGCTTCTGGGACCGATAAAGGGTGTCAGGGACAGGTGCGTGGGTAGCTTCAGGGACCGGTGCGTGTGGGCAGCTCCAGGGACGGAGAAGCCAACTGCAAGGAGTTGAAGGACTTCACACCACATTAACCCTCGCCCATGTAGGGGGGGGGTTGGTGCAACCCCCCCCCTGAGGTTTTTCGGAAATAGTGCAAAAACGGCGGCGCGCAGCGCCGCCAAATTTTGGGTACCTTATGGGGCAAACCTTGCGCATCTTTTGATAAAAAAAATTTGACCGGGTCATGTCAGGTCACGGAGTTATGACGTCACAAAGGGAACAGCCTCCGGCCGGATTTTCACAAACTGAGTGCCAACGCCCGAGGTTTCCTGCCGGTGGTACGGACATCGGTTGATGGATCGTGATGAAACTTCCCATGCATGTTGGGGCAAGTATTGGCTATCATATGGTATAAGAAACTTGACCGGGTCAGGTCAGGTCACGGAGCTATGACGTCACAAGAGGAACAGCGTCCGGTACTATTTTTGAAAAGCGCCCGAACCACTATTTTGCTAATTCTTGTCACCTCAATGGGAATATGCAGCAATATTAGCTTCTATAGGGAGCAAATGGACCTTCCAAATCAAAAAATACAATCAGATTTCAAAAATTTAAATTTTGATTTTTCGAATTTCTGCCGCCGACTGTGACCTTGCCGACTTCCGGCGCTCCCAACGCGCCATTTTTAGAGCTAGGGAAACGAAATACATACCAAACGATAGAGAATTGATCAAGGAACACGATAGTGAAAGTTTCAAGTCGATATCTCCCACCGTTTTGCCGCAATCGCCGCGGAAAGTTGAAAAAGTCTATTTTTCCGAAAATTTGACCTTTGACCGGTCAAAAGTAGGTCAAATGTTGACCTAGGACCAAAAAATATACCACCAATCGCGAGATCTTGGCGAGAGCAATCCGTTGGTCTTTTCCGCTAAGCTCTACGACGCTCCGTTTTCAAACGCCAGGGGGGGGGTCGCACCAACCCCCCCCCTGCATGGGCGAAGGTGGCAGATCGCCGTTTACGGGCGAGGGTTAAGAAACTGAAAAGAGGAAATGGGAAACATAGGTGGTATAGGAGTCTGAGAGAAACGTGCACTTTTAAAAAGACGGAGTAAAATGGCGGAGAGCTGGCAGTAGTCAATCTCAAGAGAAGATAGGAACTACCTGGGGTCAGGAGGAAAGTCAGTGCATCCTGGACGACTCGGGGGCTGCGAGTTGGCTCGATGTGAAGTACGTGTGAGAGAGTGGGTTGGTGAGAGGAGGAGAGCAGAGTCGGCGGGCCCACGCAGCGCCGCCGGCCGCCGCTCACTGGGCAGAGCCGGGCGGCGCGCTCCGCCGCGGTCCGCTCTCCACGTCGGTCGATAGCTGGCAGTCGAACGGTGCCCCGCCGGCCGGAGGCCGCCCCTCAGACCGCAGGGCCGGCCTCTCCACCGGCCGGAGCTGCTCTCCACGGAGCCGAGCTCTTCACCGAGCCGAGCTTCTCTGAGTCGAGCTCTCCACCGCGCCATCAGATCGCAGTTCACGTAGCAACGGGCTCCCAGACAGAGCTCTCCCTCGAGCCGCCGGACCCGTCCTCATCAGACCATAGTGACGGAGTCTCCAATGGACAGAGCTCTTCGTACTTCTCGGAACGAGATCACCCACAAACCACGGTGCCGATTATTCCATCGGGCCTAGTCCAATCCATCCATCCATCCATCCAACTGTTTATTGGTAATACAAATTAAACGCATAATATATAGTAAAATAAGAGGAGGCACAAAAGTCAAAGGGCTTAAGTCTCGGTGCCAACTCTCGTGATGCAGTGCACCGGAAATATGTAGGTATAATACAATATATAATAGTCCTCCACCTCTCACCACGGACCAACAGCTCCGCCAGACCGCGGGGCCGGACCACAGCTCATTCAGATCACCAGACCGAATTCTCGCAGAGGGCCGGGCGGAGGTGTTCCTCAGACCACCGAATAGAGATCTCCACAGACTGCACAGACCTCGCCACAGTTCGCTCAAATCAACAGCTGGCAAGCCCTCCAGGCTCCACTTGACCGCCGCGCTGAGATTTCCACGGCTCTCAATTGAGCTGAGTCTCATCGGTTCCCGCAGGCCTCACATCACCCCTACCCAGCTCTATATATGGTTCCCAGATCGAGCTCTCCACGGCCCAAAGATTGACCAGTAGGTGAGATGAAATGTCAAGTCAAGATCAGTTTTAGGTAACTTTAAACGTATTCTATTAGTCGGAAAATATCTTACTTGACATATCTGGCAAATCCAATCTCTTACCTATGAATTGGATACCGACATAAATTTACCAGTTGATTGGACCCCGGTGGCCTCCGTTAGGTTGGTACCGCATTATTTGAATGCTCGTATATATAAACCTCGTTTGTATGACAAATAGCTACTGCTAAGTGCTAACACCCATACAATCAATCGTGCATTACTATGAAGCAGGGTGATACAATCATGCTTGGCCTTGTCTATAACTAATGCATAAACATCGCTGTTGTCATAAGTAGTGAACAGATGGAACGATATACACGTATGCATATCATTAAGTACATAAAGCATATGTAGTTAGGTATGCCGCAATTTTTTTTTAACCAGACCATGTGAATCTACCAGTATATACATAAAAAATTATCATGAATCATACCGCGTTATAATTTGTTACACCATTATCATGTAAAATGCTTCTGGAAAAGCAGTTCAACAGTTGATGCACTTACATCAACAGGGTGTTTCACTAAAAGTGTCAAAAAGTAAAAGGTCCTAATGCACATAATAACAATGTTTTCTAAGGACATTTGCACATCATTTCATTCGCGATTGTTGGACATTTGAATATATAAAAATGATATCACCGTCACTCAAACCTATTCCACATATCCGCCCCTTCTTTTGATGCACCGTTTCGGCACGTATCCGGAGGTGCCTCACAGCCCGTTTCATCTTCAGCGTCCAGACTGTCGGCAAAGCCTTGCATTGTGCTCTTCAGCTCCCGAAGTGATGCGACTTGAGTCTTCCTCAGCTCTGCGAGAGCTACTAACCAAAACCAGAAGTAAAGCGGTGACAGATCGGGTCTTCGCGCTGGCCAGGGGCGAGTGGTGAGGCAGCTGATTATTCGGCCCGAGAACTTCTGTTCCAGCCAGTTCTTGGTGGCTACAGCCGTTACAGTGGTTGTTTTTGATAACTTGTAAGGGCTTGGCTATTTATGATGCTGAAATAAGCTTCTTGTTATCTTAAAAGGTCCTAAAAAAGACCCTGACCTTTTCAACGATTTCTGCCGAGACGTGGGGGCGACCCGCCTTTTTTGGACTGGTACCGGCATCAAAGGAACCCTTTTAAACCTCTCAGGGAGCCATTTGAAACTTGTATAATCTGGATCGTAGCAAGGTGAGAGAGTGAAACGTTTCCTGAAAAGTCGGCGTACGGTTTCAATGTTTCTGATAGCACCAAACGTAAGTGTAATCCACCGCTCCTGTTGCGGTGTTAACAGAACCTGTTCTTGTTCTGTATAAGGATAAAAAACGACTAGTAACTTTGGCCTCCTGCCCTCGCTCCGTATGAGTGTAAAATATAACTTAAATGGCTTAAGCATAAATGTCCAAAAATTTGCAACAAAGCCACGTGCGCAACCACGTACTTTGCATTATATCTTTAATAGGCATTTACTTTTTGACACTTTTAGTGAAACACCCTGTAAAATAGGTAATCTTGTGCAAGTCACCATGAATTCAACTTACAGTTATGGATCTAAAGAAAAAGGCATTTGCCACTCAACGCAGCAAGGAGGTAGGTACTCCCCGAAAGTTTTTTTCAGTGCCCATATCATCAACTTTAGCATCGCTATGAGCTGTTTCGGGATTTTCACTGAACCTTTTCTGGACAACTCTGGCCAGTTTAGTACGTGCAAGGTAAACCATATCTTTGCATCAACTTCGGCAGTGGTGTTAGGCGCGTGCCTCATATTATCCCCTTGAATCCGCCAGTGAAAGATCATACATATACTACAAACTAACATGGCATGTCACTTCCCAGCCTTTCTACATGAACACTGCATCAACTGTCGGTTTGTTCCATAAAGGCTAGCAAACGAGCCTGGCTGGCCAGCAGTGGTCACTTACCCTTGGGTTGTTACGCTGCATCCCCTGAGCGCCACCCAGTGGGGATGATCCCATGCCATCATTGGGGCCACCGGGATTCGGCCTGAAAAAGAGAAGAGCGACAAAACGTGTCAGCAGGCCAGACGATCGTTTGTCGGTGTCCGTTCCCACGTCAGTGTTCTCATCCCCCACTGTCGGCGCCCGTGTCTGTGCAGATATTACCAATAATCGATCGGACATCTACGGCTAGGGTGACGCCGCGAATCCCGTGTTTCGTTCTCATTGAAAATCCCCAATAAAGAAAACTTCACCTTTTCCGGCTCAACTTATTGTCAGCCCGCAGGTACGGAGGGAGAGGGAAACGGCCCCTGTCTCCTTTCCTCGGTATCTCCGAAAGTGCTGGCGATATCGTCAGCAAATCTTCTATGCCCATCAATTTTACATATGGCATTGGTGACTGAAATCAAGTCAAAGACTGTGATAGGATAGGCCTCTGCCGGAAATGACCCAACAGTCACGCCATGTTCGGGATTTTTTTGCTCACAGAACAGAATCTGCGCGAATAACTCTCACGCCGACAGCTTTGAGCATAGTGAAAAATTTTATCGTCCAAAAAACTGATGACACCATATTTTAAAGCTAGTTATGTAGCCGTTCTCGACATTTAAGCACGCACCAAAGGCCAATATCGCATTCTTCGTGACGAACCACATCAATTAGATACTGGAGATGTCAATCGGATACCAACTTTTTGGTATACCGATACCAAACCGATACCATCTTGGTATTTGGTATTTCAATCTAAATGTTTTTGGTATTTTATTGGCATTATGAACCCTTACTAATGTATAAGATGTTTAGAAATCGGTAAAAAGTTGGTATTTCCCTCACGTTCCCAAGTTGGTTCGGTTTCGGTATATCCTCACGGTTTTGGTTGGTATTTGGTTTGGTATCGGTATTCCAATTTTCTGTAATTGACATCACTATTAGATACCCTTTTTATGCCAAAAGATCAATTTTAGAAAAGAGTAAATCTTGCTATATGCAAATCCTGCAACTAAAGTCTCAACCGTCCCTAACGATCAAAGAAGCATTGATTATAAATTCGGAATACACAATTGGCCATAAAACATGTGTTAGTGTTACACATCCCCAGCATGCTTTTGTAGCAATGTGTTCTTTTGTAGCCTACCCTGTGTGACTTATCCTTGTAGCAATGACGTCAAATAGCAATGCGTGGCTTTCTATGATTTTTATCGATAGATCATTATATTCATTGGCTTTTCAGTGCACCGACATACAAATTTGAGGACTCTCAAAAGGTAAAAAAGCATTTGACCTGACGTGTGACGTCATGCCTAGGACCAATGTCAATGAAACTGAGTCACCATGGTAGATAATTGACTACCTCGAGGTTCCTCGAGGTCAAGGTTAAGCAAGGCTACCCCTGCTTGGGGTTATTTTACGGATTCAAGTATCTAAGTTATCGTGGCGCAATTATTTCACTCACCGTGCGCCTCTCGGTGTAATTTTTAAGAACGAAACGGATGCCAAATTCGTGATCAGTGTCCTCTATTAAATCATATTTGACCCATTCTGAGTCAAACATATCCAAGGTCATCTCAGGTCCAAAGAGATCAGTATAAAACACGACCGTTTCTAAACAAAGCTTCATGTACTCGTAAATTGATCGACGCATTTCACCACTGTTACCACTATTCAAAGACCATGTTTGCCGAAACTCAGAAAAGAAAGCTTAACCTGTCTTACAGGATCATCGACCTAACCTTTGAGGTCACTGTTGATCTTAGACCTTAACCCGCGCCCCCTTGAGGTCTGGCATGTTCCACGTACTGTTGAGGGGGGCCCAAAGAAAGGGCCACGTCGTATCTCCGGAACCAAATAGCCGGATCGGAAAAATCCAAACGGCATTCGAAAGAGCTTATCAAGATGCGTAAGATAGGATATCGATGACCTCGATATTTGACCTGTGCCGTCACAGGAAGCCGAGGGAGGTCAAACAAGGTCAAATCAGTCCAATTTATAATGACGAGAAGTTGGTCATAAACAAGAAATCTAGGTTTCTAAAATGAGTCCGGATATGATGTATTATTTCAATCACCTCTCGCAATTTCTATTAACTGGATAGAGGTCAATGCAGCGATTAGGAGAAACTTGGATTTCTCAACTGGATTGGTTATTTTGTTCGTCACAGCTTTTGCAGCTGATGCAGCACTTTGATATAGCACAAAATGCGCCGTTTATGAGTGACCACGCTGCTTTGATCGCCACGCTCGAGTGTCCAGCACTGCCCGTAGACTATATTTCAGAAAGAGCTAAGCTACTGGGAAGGTACCAGAGCAGTACGGAACAAAGTATCGCAAATAGGCCCATGCATGTTTATTCCTTAAGCTCAGAGGATGTAAAAGCAGCCCTACCGGACCCGGTTTCCTGGTGGAACCAGAACGGAGCGGGGCTGGCTGGCGGGGACAACCCAGCTAGCGAACTGAGTAATAGACTCAGCGAGGTACTGTACAACGCTTGTAAACGTGCGGGGCAGACTAATCATGTGGACAATCGTGCTCCAGCAACAGCCATTAGCAATGCACATGCGCGGTGGCAGGTATTAGTCGCTAAGAATGATCCAAAGTTAATTTGGTCCTCAATTAACTGGAAAGGAGATTTCGAGTATAAAGGAGACCAAAGGAACAAACCAAGCGATGAAGATTTTCGGCAACATTTCGAGAAGCTACTGAACCCACCCATCGGGTATACTGACATGGAAATTCCAAATTCAAATATGTACGTGCCCGTTCTGGACGACCCAATCACACCGGCCGAGGTCAATGCAGCGATTAGAAAATTGCATAGAAATAAAGCAGCAGGAATCGATGGTGTACCTCCGGGGATTTTCAAACTCCTATCAAGCGAATGGTTGGATATTTTAACGGTTTTGTTCAATTTAGTTTTCTCAGGTGAATACCCCGATCAATGGTCATATGCAAAGATTTTTACGATTTTTAAAAAAGGCAGCCCGAGTGATACAAATAATTACCGTGGTATTAGCATACAAGGGGCTCTAGTAAAAATCTATGAAAGTGTACTTAACAGCCGATTCAATAGCTGGTTCAGACCTGATGATGAACAAGCGGGAGGCTGTGTAGGCAAGGGCTGTGCTGAACAGTTGTTTACACTACGGCTACTTATTGAATATGCAAGAAAAACAAAGCAAGTGCTGTATATAGCCTACATAGACTATGTAAAAGCCTACGACAAGGTAAATCGAAAGACCCTTCTTCAGAAACTAGTAGATCACGGCTGTGGCAAAAGGTATCTCCGAGCTATTGCGATTAGTTTAACAGACACCAAGAACGTGTTAGGAAACGTTTGCTTCAAATCAACTACGGGAGTAAAACAGGGAGCGGCAAACAGCTGCTCTATGTTTACTTTTTACATTAACAGCACCATCAGGGCTTTGAAAGAATTTGGTAACGACACGTATTTAAAAAACCTGCATTGTCTATTATTCATGGACGACACAGTCGTCCTAGCAACGTCCAGAAAAGCTTTAGACAAAAAACTATCGCTTTTGATTCGGGCAGCGAAGGATATCGATATGGAGATTCATCCCGAAAAATCAAAGTTTATGACAGTAAATAGCAACGATGATGTTCCGTTTTATTACGATCACATTGTTATAGGACATGTGGAAAAGTACGTGTATTTAGGCTCTCAAATAATGAATGCCCGATTGTCTGATCAAGTGAAAACAAACATAGACATGAAACGGAGTCACTTGATCAAGTTCGGTTCCTTTTTAAAGAAAAACAGTGAAGCTCCGTTTTCAGTAAAAAGATTAGTTTTTGAGAGTGCTTTGAGCAGCACAGTTTTGTATGGCTGCGAGAGCTGGTTGTGCAACAACCTCCAAGCAGTGATCTCCCCAATATTAACGGCTCAAAAGCAATTATTATCTGTAAGAAGCCAAACCTGCAACGATTTAGTACATGCAGAGTTAGCTTCCCCAGACGGCAAAGCAGTGGTCCAAGAAATTCCAATTTCCTTTCTGAGGAAGCTCACAAGCCGATCTGATTTTGTATAGGCAGCCCAGCTCACTTTGCCATGCAACTGAACAGGCAGGCAAACACAGCCGCGAGCTCATATATCGGTAATATTATGAAAGAAACACCAGGGTCCATTCGCGAGCGGAGCCTTCAAAACATACACATGAAAATAACAGGGTCTGAATCTTCCAGGAGAAAAACATACATCGATTTTAATGCTGATTTTACGGTTCACCCGATATATACTAACAATGTTTCAGAACGGGCTCGTACAGCACTTACACGACTAAGGCTATGCTCACACCGCCTTAGAATAGAGACAGGGAGGTGGGCTAGAATCCCAACAGAAGAGAGGCTATGCTCCTGTCGGCTCGGTGTGCAAACAGAGGCGCATGTACTTTTAGACTGCCCAATCACTGAGCCACTTAGGATAAATTTTACAATGCTGAGCTTTGATAGTTTGGCAAGCTTGATGAAAAGTAGTCCAAAGGATTTGGCCATATACTCTCAGAGAGTTTTGCTGGCATGTGAGAACGTATGACGCGACGGATTTTAACGTGGTGTTTAGGTATAGTTTTAACCCGCGCCCCGTAGGGGGGGGGGGCCGAAACGGCCCCTCCCTGTCCTTTTCGGTCGATATCTCCTAAACGGCTAGAGATATCGCCACCAAACTTTCAGGACCCCTCCGGGCATCAATTTTACACATTGTGACCAAAAATTTTCTCCAGAGGCTATGATAGGTTGGCCACAAATGACGTCAGAGTGACGTCATGTTCTGTCATTTTCGACCGAAAAAAGACCTTCGCGAGAAGACCTGTCAGGACTACAGCTTTGAAGATACAGAAAAATGATCAAGACATAAAAGGTGTAGAATTGACAGGGCTACAAAGCTGCTATCTCGAATTTTTGAAATTTTTGAGTTTTGACCCCCAAAAATCAAAAAAGCATTTTTTTGGATATATTCGCCAAAAAATCCAAAAAGTTTTTTGAGTTTCGAAAAAACCGGAATATATGTGATAGTGCCTACCGTCTTCTATCTACA